TGGTTTAATCAAGAAAGGACTTGTATCACTGAAGATCCTCGGAAAGAATTCCTACCGGAAACAAGCAGAAACGTTACATTTCTAACATTACAATAGTAACAATTAAGCCTATCCTTATAACTTCTTCTATACTAATTTCCTATGCTAAACTTTTCTCTGCCTCTTATTCTTTTTGCATTTAGTTTTTCCTGTCCCTCACTACTGTCTAGTCCTACTTTAAAGCTTCCTTTACAGCTGAGTTAATTGCCTTAGCAAACAAGCCAGCCCCCTATTTTATTTAATTGTTAACCATCCATTCCAAAAAAAAGCTTCCACTGAACTGATCCCACAAGTCCAACCACACATTCTGCTCATCTTTACATACTAACCTAAGCCTAGCATTTAGCCCTAGTAACCTAACAAAATTTAAATGCCTTTATCAACCCCTTGTACTTATTAGTTAGCTCCTCTGATCTACCTTTCCCTACATCATTAGCCCCTACATGCACCACAAAACTGCATCTCTGCTAGCCCCCTATATTATATCTCCTGCTCTGTCAGTTATATTCTCCACCTGTGCCCCTGGGTAGCATAATTTTACCCTTTTCTCCCTATTTACCCCACAGACTATTCTATCCACATGCCATGTCAAGGAATCACATATAACTATAACCTCCTTGTCATCCATATCCTTCTCTGACCGTTTTGTTTTCCTTCCCTCCAATAGTTCCTCATTTGAAGAAGCCAAGGGCTGAAATTTGTTGCTCAATAGAATAGCCTCATTATAACTAAATTAGTTTGTTAATCAGAATTCTGATTGTACTTTATTTCACACAATTAATGAATAAATGGTTGTAATATAAAATAAAGTTAACAAAAGATTGTGTATTTACCTGTTATCTTAATGAATACACTGTCCGTATTTACGAACATCATTCTTCTTAAATGTAAACAGTTACTGTATTTCTACTTATGGACCTTGAGGTTTATTGTCTCTTTTCTTCATGTAATAACTTAATAAGATGGATGAAAGATTTTCAGAATCCAGGATGTGGATACACTGTATGCTTTATTTTTAACTTAGACATTTGTATTGTTGTTTAGCTAGAGAGAGTATTGATGCCACTTGATGAGTGCATAGCTCAAACGTCTGGTATTTGTTTAAAGTTTATGAAATTATTTTAAAGTATAAAAAAGCGAGTGTAAGTATAAGAATCGAGATAATTAATTAACTAGTGAGTCTCTTACAGTGATGGATCGATTACCGAGTTAGCGATTTTATTCGTTGGTTTGACTATGACTTCAATTTCCTGAATATTGAGCTTGTAATTGACTGCCTATAGATATTTGTGAATATAGTTGTATTGTTAATTCGTGAAAACGTGTAAATTACAAAACTTGTATCCAGGAAATAAAATTCCCTCCTTATAATTAAATGGCTGGACTTTCCATTTTTCATTTTATTGAATCATTCAAAATGAACCGCCAACAATAAAACGTGTATGTGTGTGTATAGTAAGAATGGTTGCATACTTTTGCTTAAAATAATACTGTTACGACATCGAGGTCACGTGACTAGTATCACCCCACGTCATTCTCGAACTTTCACGTCTTTTCGTGATCTTTCTAGATATAGTGTAGTCTTGTATATATAAGACCGGCCACGAAGCGACGAGACACTGAGTAATTGAACTGCAGTCAGAGAGTGCGTAATTGAACTAAGTATTGTTGGAGTCGAGCACGTGA